AATAAAGCAGGTCTCCTGAGTACAGCCCAGTCCCTTCTGGATCATGCTGCCTCCAAGAGCTGTAGACAAGCAGATTTGATCTTGACCATCAAAGCACTTTTCTGCTATTTGAATACTCTGTAAATTTTGGCCACCCAGTATTCACCTTTAAAAAAAAGCTAATTACTTTTCAACCAGGTACATCTTATTACCTTGTACACAACCCACAAAGTCCTATTCTGCCAAACAGACCCTCTGAACGAAATTCAGGATAAAACTCAAGAGTTTCAGAATGTGGGTGTCTGATACCAAACAAAGCAATCAGCATTCAATACAAAATTCTCAGCAGGGACAAAAAGCCCTGAGCTTTCATATGCTGTTATTTCCAGTATTTCATTTTCACAGCCTCTGTTGGAAGCTCTCTCTCTACAGTCACAAAGTTTTCCTTTTTTTCCTTTTAATGTAAATATTTATTTTCTGGGCTGAAATTTGGCACACTTTTTTGGTTAAGGCCTTGCTGCACACATCTCTTAAGCAAAATTTAAGCAGCACAGTTTAAAAAAAAACAACAACAAAAAAAACCCCACTCTAAGTTGAGGAAAATACCCTCTAATAGGGTATACATCCCTAACATCCACCCAGTCCCCTACCTGGGATTCAGTTAAGGTAGGCATAGCCCCTGCTCCCATCCATGGAAGTTACGTACCTAAATGCCTAGCCTATATGACCTACTTTTACTACTAAAAGGGTTTTCTACCTTTCAATTTTCTAATGGGTCACTGCAATTTAGAAGGTGTTATTCGTAAAACAGAAAACACATTGCAGCTACACAAGAGAATCTCTGTACTTTTTATATCACACTAACATTTCTAAACTTTACCAAATGGGGAGAAAATATTAATTAGATTTTCTCATAATGCATCTGCAGTTCTTCAAACAAGACTTAAGGCAAGCTGATTTATTAACACGCCACTGCAATGTCAGTAATTCTGATATCATGTTAGTTTCCTTTTCCAATTCAATCACTGCATGAGCAAGGCTGGAACAGGCAGTTCCAGGAAGGTCACACAAAATTCCCAAGCTCAAGTGCTGTTGGGTCCTTTCTAAAACTCCACCTCCAGAAAATTTGAGTAACATGATCTCTCTCCTTCCAGCTTGCATGACAAAAAACATCCTTAGACACTGCTGCATTGCAGCTAAAGATGACGACTTAATCTTGTGATTTTCTGCTGTGTTTGATACGCGTAATTTTGAAATAAAAATCCAGCATTTTAATCACTTTTGGTTGCTTCTGTGACTCAGTCAGAGAGACTTTCACTTGCAAGTCATGCGCTCAGCTCAGGGCTGAGGTGATGATGACCAAAAGCTGCTTCTTGCCCACACGCTGTTGATGGCCATATGAAGTAAACTATCAATGCCTAGAAAGTCTCCACTGCAGAGGACTCTCACAATAATTCCCTCAACCAAGAGACAAGAACTAATCAGAAATTAAGCCTGAGATAATCGTTCACTTTGAGCTTCAGTGACGTCAAGGTTGACTCCTGCCGAGGTACCAGACGACGCAGACTCACAGAGGGACCTCTTCCAGACAAAGCTGCCATAAGGTTGACATCCTCTGTGGGGAGGAAGGATCTCTTCCACTCTATGAAAGATCTATGCTGAGAAAACACTTTTCTCCTTCATCACTTCAGAGGAGAGGGCAGCACACAGCTTTGCAGGACAAAAGCATCTTCCCGCCTTTGCCCAAGACGCAGGAAGCATCTAGCAGGACCTGGGTGAACCCTCCATCGATGCTACAGCGGTGAACCCTCCATCGATGCTACAGCTTGGCACTCCCATGATCCGCTGCCCTAAAGGAGGCAGGAACACCAGGTACCACCTGGGCGCTGCCGACTCCTCGTCCCCTATTAGCAGTGGCCAATTTTAGCTCATGGGAATGTCCTCATTTCCTGTTTGGCACACAAGAAGTACTCCCCTGCTTCATATTTATATGCCAGCTCACGTCTGTGATAGTGGCAAAACACTACCTGAGTGAGGCCCAGATAAGCGTCCTCAGATGGTCTAGAGATGGTCATTCATCCGTGTCTTCAACAGTAGGTCTGATGGCCATGGGGGAACATCAAGGGTTAACAACATCCCTCATTCTGAAAAGTATTATGGACTTTCCAAAACTGCTGACCAGGGCATAATCCCTCTGCTTCGAGTTCACCTCCCACTGCACTGCCTCTCACTGGAATCCTAAATTCATGTAGAGTACCGCAAGAGCTTGCCTGTGTGTGAATGTATGCTGATAAAGGTAGGGCATGTTAAATAAACTGCTTGTCATTATCCCAGTGTAACACCTACTCTAGCATGCGAGGACTATTTCACGGTTTAGTTTACATTGCTTTTAAACTATTTTAAGATAAAATTTAAAAAAGAAAGAGTTCAATAAAATTTCTCTTATTCCAGAATAAGAGTATCCCCAAGGGCAAGGTATACCAACAAAATTATTATAATGCTTTAACTCCATAGGCACAACTGGAAAAGCCTTCTCTGAAAACAAGTCGTAACTCTATTCTTCTATCTGTAGCCATTATCCTGATAAATTTGGGAAGGTCAGCTAAGGTATAATCCAATAAATGTGCTGATGTTCTGAGTAAGTACCTCACAATTTGCAGCCTAATCTATTATCCTACTATAAGACCATCAAATGACTCACCACGTTTAATACTTAGTACAGATCAAACAAAGAAAAATATCAAAGCTTTGCATTCTAGTTCCACCCTTCAAGGACTTGTTTGAGTACTTTTTAATTACAGCAGATGATACATTCAACTCCGGCATTTGCTTTTTCTAATGGCTATAGTTAATAGTTGCTGTAATTGTATTTTTCATGGGACATATTTACGTTATCCAATTAATACTGAAAAGTCTGGCAAACTGAACTAAGAAAGGTGGCATTTGGTCCCAGATCTGAAATCTTGCTTTTTTTGTCTGTAGCGTCACATGTAGCTATTGTAACAAACACGCTAGGAAATAGCGTCCTGATATTCCTGGGCACAGGGAGACAAATATTCATAGCCCCCACCAGAACTGCAGGCAAAAAGCCACATAAACAAACATGCATGCACCTGGCAGCACACATGATCCTGGATGTTACCGCACTTAAAAAGTCGGACCAAATCCGGAGCAACTTGGGCTGTGCCTTCTGATTCTACAGCAACTCAAATAAACCTATGGAACTTTGCAGTTGAACTCTGTGATTTTTTATAGATATACTATAGGTACAAAATAAAGTGAAAAAACATTCTATTTACCCAGTCGCAGATCTCAAAGAAGGAAGTAAGAGGAGAAAGTCTGCAGTACTGTCAGACAATTGCAAAAGCTCTGTGAAGTGATTAGAGAAGTTACAGGTCTGTGAAACACTGCCACTGACTATGCAGGCACAGCAAAGAAAAACAGGTAGGACAAATCACTGCCAGTTAACTCTCTCATTGCGTTTTGCTCCTATAAAGCCTTTCTCAACAACAGCGTGCATTTGTATGTTTGGCCCACACAAACAAAGTGAATGCAGACTATGTGATACTGTACATAAGCATAATCACTGTTAAAACTTGTCTCATTTATCACAACAACAAAAATCCACTGGGAAAAAGACCAAATCATATCTGGTTTATGTTGCTGCTGTATTTTGACTGACTGACCCAAATCAGACTGTTTACAAGGTCTGTAAGCTTATGCAAGAACAGTGTATATGCAGCTAGAATGAAAAAGAGGTTTATTTGGAAGTCTCTGCAGAAAGCAAACGAATCACGTAGGTCAAGACGCCAGAGCCTCTGCTTGCAGGTGGATGCCTGGGCTGGAGTTTTCAGAAGTGCACAGATCTGACTGAACTCAATTTTTGCTAAGTCAACATTCACATACTTAAACAGGAACTGTAAATTATCTCTGATCGTTATTTCAGTTCTGCTCAAAAAGTATTGTTTCTCAATTGCCCACAACAAACGTAACAATGAAAAGAACAAAAAGAGCCAAAAACTAAAGAGATGGCCTATAGGGATAACGGGCGCACACAGTATCATTCAACTTGCTTTTCCAGTTCATTTAAGCTTTGGGGCTTTATAGCTGATATTGGTCAAACAAAGACAACATATGCATAGAGCTGTATGCATACCTACAAATATGCGTACGTATAAAAAATGAGACCAGTCTTGAGAAAGGGAAGTAGCTGCACAGCTAGGCACAAACACGTTTGGGATGAACATAGAGATCTCACGAACTGCCCTTTTTAAAGTGCCACTGGGGTGTCACCGTTTCATACAATAAAAAGATGACACCTTACCAGAACTTAGATAGCTCTACTCAAGCATTACCTGCACTAGTGACAAAAATTAGCTGAGCTCCTGTCACCTCTTACAGTCCCTGTCTAGACACAGAAGATTAAGTGGGAATTCCAGTCTGTCTTGCTGGGTTACCAAACACCCTGACAGCTGAGCTATGATCCAAACCACTTCATCGCCGCTGATTAGACAACAAAAACAAAAGAAAACAACTTGAAATGCAGATATCTGGATCATTCTGGCAGCGTGACGGATAAAAGTTAACAAAGAAAATGTGTAAAATTACTCGTGAACTAAGTAGGTTTTAATTCACGAGCTATTGTTGACAAAACTTAGGGAGAAAGAAATGCCATTTTTTGCAAGTATTTTTTTCTAACTACCTCTGCAGCAATCTAACAATCACGATCAGAGGCCCTTCGCTCAGAGGTACTGCAGCTTTTGAACTGGTGCCCCCTTTAGAGCGGCTGCTCCCTCCTTCCCATTGACTGTCACATCTGGATGCTATCAGGACAAACTGGCATGCCTGCTCTCAACAAATACCAAGTGGTTAGCAAATTGACTCCAGCAGTCGATTCTGGCCCGTTTCCCACTCTCAGTTTACGCAATGCACCACTAACCTGTTGAGTCCGAGGCTTGTAAGGAGAGCTGCTTTCTAAGTCAGCCAGGATGCTGGTCAGAGAGTCAATTTCTGCATCTAAACTGGATCGTCTTTCTTCAAGGGTCTTGCCACCAGGATTCACCTTAAAGAAGAAGGAAAAAGAATTCCAGTTATTCAAACCACTTGGCCTGGCACATGGTTTCCAACTGTCCTCAAATGGAGCTGCTACCATACCCTAGCAATATCTCTCAGCTCGCATGGACAAACGTTGAAATACTATTTGCAGTAAATAGTCACAAAATAACCTCTTAGGAAGAGAGGTACTACACAGGAACCTCTGCTTCCAGAGCAGCCATTAGCCTACATTCAGGACCCTTTGAATTGATTCAATGCATCTTCCATTCTCTCTGTTTCCAAAACAGCCCAGCCCCACTTAGACCCAGGCTGGTAGGGACACCCACTTGAAGAGGAGACATGAATTTTAACAGCCATGACGCTGCCTACCCAAGCAAAGAACAAAATCCCAGATCCCAGCATCCCAGGAGAGTGTGCCATCCCCAAGCTATTGTCAGAGGGCTGCACTACAACCTCAGCTAGAATAATCGTTTTAAAAGAGGAGTCCTTCACATGCTTCATTTCTGAAAAGCCAACTCAGTCCATAATCTGCAGGGAAGAACTCCATGCTGTACTTCCCAATCAGCACAGCTGCAGTGCACAAAGCGAGGAGAACACCTTCCTTCTCAAAAAGTTTTCATGGTTTGAAAATCAGGAACTTCAGAAGGAATGAGAAGTGTGTGCGCCCCAGCACACCTCTCCTCTCTGGGCAGCACAGGGTGATCTGAAGGCACCACTGCACCCAGGATCCTGCATTCGGAGAGGCCGTAGCTGCTGTGGCCTAAGTCGGCTCAGCACTGTGCCTCGCGCCAGCCGCTAAGGCCCCACACCAGCTGTGACATAGGTGCTGCGCAGCTTGCCTCAGCCCATGCTTGGAGGAAGTGCAGGAGCAGGACTTCTTGAGCTATGTGAAATGTTGCACATTTAAATCTTTTCTGAACCTGAGTCATAGCTAGTATTTGTCTTGCGTTCTTCCACATCTATCTTATCTGCAAATTCCCCACACAGAGCTTCTCTGTGTGCATGCACCTACAGAGCTCAGTACAGAAGAGCTCACTTTCAGCACAACTGTTACAATAACAAAAGTGAATATTCAAAAATTATACAACAACTCACCTAACTGTAACTGTAATGCCTCTTCAGACTATACCAGCACTTCCCCACAGACAACCCAGCTCTGTTTGCCTTCACTCTCACCAAGTTACTTCAATTTTCCAAGCAGAAAATTAGTCTTCCCCTTTGGCTCACTAACTGCTCCAGACAGTTTTTACTTAAATTTCATTTCAGGAGCGCTAGATCATTACCTGTTTTACAAACTCCCCAGTCATCAATTCGACACATAAATGGCAAGTTGGTCAAAGACAGACAGCCTATGCAAAGCTGGCAGGCTCTGATCTGCCAAGCTTATACGTGCTAAGGCATTCATTAGTTCCTAATGATTATTAAATATTGGGTTACAATAAATTTGGCTTGACTAATACAAAAATGGAATCTCCAGTATGCTTAATGCAAGAATATGTCATTTAAAAGGCTGAGAGTCAGGTCAGAAACTACTTATAAACCCCCTTTTTTCCACCTATTTTATTTGTAGAGCCAGGCACAAATTTTCCATCCAAACTATTGTTCAGGAAAGAAATACTTTTCACAAGAATCACCCCAGATCAGTATTCCTGGATAGCTGTAGGTACGTAGATTTTTTAATCTGAAAAAGTCCAATTTCCTTTTCACTACTAATGCACTTCATGGCTTTTGTTTGGTTTTTCTCCATTCTTCAATTATCGGCCTACAATAACTACAGGGCAGCCACAGATTTCTCCATCGTGGTGCTAAAACACAGCCCAGACACAGAAACTGAGATTGCTCCACTCAAAAGTTTTCAAGCTAAACAGTCAAAAGCCAGCCTGAAAGCGGGGAGAGATGTGGAGGACACCCAAGGCCCCAACACGTGAGGTGATAAACCATGCAGCAAGTCACAGGTGAACTAGGAATAAAACAAGAGACCATGAAACTGGGGTTTGTTACCCTAGGTGTGGGACTGTGCTAACCCTGAAGAGAGAGGACAGTGATATATAAGAAAATCAGCCACTTTCATTTCAGCTTGTTTGCATTTCCATGCCACGTTATTCCCAGGTTCTCAAGCCCCAGAACAATTATGCAATAACTGATTCGCAAATGCTGCCGAACAAGTTGTAGGGTTGTAAAAGTTAAATGTCCTTAGGAAACCTAGAAAAATAAAATGAGAAAGCATGGAAACATCTCTATTGATTCTGGGATCTGTAAAAGATTTATTTATTCAATTAAAATATAATCAACATAGATTAAGAGCCCAATTCTGCAAAGGCTAGACACAATGCAGTATGCCAGTGCCAGCGAATAATGCTACCAATGTTTGTTTGTAAGAGCCTATTGGGACAGGACTGGGCTTTTAGTACATCAGAGAAATTGCAATCCTTGCAAAGATAGATTTCTCCTTGCTTTCTCTTCCCCAGCTCCAAGAATCTCACATTTCTTTGAACGCAGTAATCCAGTTTCAACTGAGAGGTTTGTTGAGTGGAAAAGAGTAGAATTTGCAACAGTAACTTTAGTAAGAGAGGGTTAAATCATTCGTCTTCTCATGCTCTTCATCATGCCTTAGCTATAAAAGTTTTATGGTATTACTCTGGAATAAAACCCAAGCCCTAGGTCCCAAGACACAACAGGTTAGTGCAGACATAGCTCTATTTTGACCAGTTAAGCCCCGGACTTAGCAAACACTGAAACCGGAACCAGAAAGAACTGCTTATTCTATTTCTATCTGGATTTACTGTATTGTTACAGACATGTCACTTGTGCACCATTCCCTCCAGCCAGAAGAATATGAAAAAATGGGTTTAAAAAGAAAAAGGATGCTCTCTCTGGCCTGGCCAATGTGAGTTTGACAAAAAGCAAATATAAGCCTACCCAGTCCAACAAATTACTTATGCCAGAGAATATCCACTCACGTGAATTTCTGCAACTCCTACACTCTCATCCCCTGTCTCAGTCCCTACTGCAACGTAAAAAAGAGAAATACAGCAGAGTTTCACAGCTTGGCTTGTCTGTCCACCCCAAATTCCTGGTGTGCAGCTTGGCGCAGCTGTGACGGTAATCCATTGCTGAGCCCCATCAACCCACACTGTCCAATGAAAACTGGCTTTAATTTTGCTAATCCTATCACCCAGCACCAACCAGTGTCACAGGTCCCCCCCTTACAACCCCATAGGATATTCATTACAGAACACTTGGCGCCTCAGTGCAGGCACCTCAAAGTTTAGCTCCCTGTGCTACAAAGGCCATCAGGCCATTCCTTGGGCTACAGACACAAAAAGAACATTGATTTCCCTAGAGGCCATCCTAGATCACCTCCTTTAATCACACTTTGCAAGCTACGGAAGAGGAACTAGAACACTTGTCGTATGTCCAAGCCCACTCCTTGCAGCAGGTTCAAAGAGAAAAAAGACTGGGAGAAGCTGGCTCCCATAGTTCCTTCCAAGTTCCTCTCCTTCCCCAAATTCCTTTCCCCACCCAGACACACCCTCCTCTCCTTTATTCTCCTGTCCATCCTCTCCCCATCCCATGTGTCCCTTTTCCTCTCTGCTCTCAGTCTCTGTTTCACCTTCTCCATGCCCTGTTTACCACCAAGCAGTGTTGCACCTTGGGGCAGTCAATAGGCCCTTGAGACAAGAGCAAGATGAACATGTCTTAGGCTGCTGGGTTGGTTTCCAAGCCCCCGCAGGGACTCACATCCGTGCCTAGCCGTGTTGCTATGTAAGGGAAAGATGGAAATTGGCTTTGCAGTAGCTACCTGCTGACTTACAAGGATAGCAGGCTAAAAGTGACACTAGAGTCACAGGGTATAAATTCCATCAATTCAAATCAACAGCCAAAAGCCTCAACATTTTAAGAGCATCAGGATTTGGCACTCTGCAACACAGTTTCCCAGCATCAAGATCCACCTTCTTCTCGTCCCTCTTAGACTTGCTCAGAACTTGCCTGATGTAGGCTGAGCTGAGCATGTTCCATGAGTGTTGCAGCCAGCTCATTTCTGAGCTGCATGCAGGAACATAAACTGCAATACCATTATGTACGTACAGACATGTCCAAGACAGCAGAGCCAAGGCTAGACATGCAACCTTCTTTCTAGCGTTAACTGGCTCTGAACTGCTTCACCATCCAAACTTCACACTCTCGTCATCTTGCTTTTGTATGGAAGCGTCAGCCATGTCTGGGAACATTGCCGCTTGCTGCTTTGTCTGTGTTCTGTGACTCAGCTCTCTCCCCCAACGATCTCTGCCAGTCATCAGGTCAGTTGCAAGTGAGAAACCCACTCCCAACCCCAGGGTAACGGCACATCTCCTTGTAAAACTGACAAGCAGAGTACCTGCTGCAGTATCTCCTGCAGTATCTCCTAGTATGCTCCAGCATTGGTTTAGTAGGGAAGATACACTTGTTCCATGTTCCCGCGCAGATCTCCATTCATGAACTGTCACAACACTTTAGACAGTTACACCTGTATGCTTGCCTTGCCACACTGACATCAGGCTGCGCTTTCCTAAGCAGACAACCAGAAAGAAAAGAAGGGAAGGAAACAGAGCCAAAAGGGAAGAGCACACAAGGAGGATAAAAGGTCTTCCTTACGCCCTACTCCATGGGCCCTGCATGCAATAGAGGTCTCAATGCCTCATTTGCAATCACAAGCTACAGAATACCTCTTAAATAGCAAGTGGAAGAATGGAGATGAACACCATGGAGACAAGAAGGGTCACAGCTAATGACTGGAAACAAACTGGCAGGGGTGGGGGGGGGGGCCAAGGACTGGGAGACTGTGATGCTTGGGGAGCTCTCTGGTCTGTGACACCCAAGAGTGTAGGTGTCAGGGATGGAAAAGGTAGCAATGCATGGCATGGGAGAGTCCTTTGCAGCAAAGGCAGTGACGGTGCCACAGCAGGAAAGAAAGGACTAAGCAGCAAGTAGAGTGAGGAAGAGGCATTTAGGCAAAACTCGGGTTGT